GCACCATAAGTCATAACAAGGAAGTAACTCATAATAGTATAGCATGCATCATCTCATTCAAGCATTATAAGTCACATTCTTCATTAGCTTCATTTCATTAAGAGAACCTTCATTCATTTAGACATTAGATCAACATTCTTCATTAACATCATCATAAGAGCACATTCATTACACTTAAAACCATAAAGGAACACACCACAACCTCTCTCAAAGCCTACTTGTGCAATGCATAGATGGCATCTCATACCACCACCCACACTAAGTAGTGCATTTTTAAGAAGCCATAGTTCATTAACATTCTTTGTGGGGGTAAGCCTTAACCTACATAGACCATGTGAGCAATTCATGGAATCCCGATGTCACCCTCATTGGATAAGGAATTCCTACTTGCCTAAGGTAGGACCATTAAAAATGGTGCGGAATTTAAAAACTTTTGTCCATACAATCGAAGTCTTTATTTAAAAGCAAGCGGAAGTCTAACTTTGTCTCACATGGCCATCTAATACCACTTGAATCAATAATAGGGTCACAGCCCTTCAACATAGTCCGAAACATAAAATGGCAGGAAAGAGACTACTAGAGACTCATATGTCCTCGAATCTTGAGGACCCACCACAAGCTAGGAAAATAGTCAATCCAAGCTTGAATCCAAAGAAATCACCTTAAGATCCGAAACCTACACTTTGTAAAAATGTATAAAAAATATGGGTTAGCACAAAAATGCACTAAGTATGATAGCCATGCAAAAATCATACTAAAAAGGACATTTTAGTTGAAAACCATGCATTTAACAAGTTTGAGGATCATCATGCACTTGTGGTATAAAAACATAAGGACATAAGTCACAAGCATATTCATCATGTAAGTCATTATAACACATTAGAACCATCATCTATGGTAACCCTAAGTTACACCACTTTGAGGCCACCATAAACATACTTACCATTCTTCATTCTCATCTTTAGTTAATACTCGTAGATAAGGAACCTTCTCATTTAATAAGTCAAGTCAAGGAAAGAAATTCACAATAACAATCCAAGTTAAGCATCATTAATACATATAGCCTTTATGTCAACATTCACATTAGCATCATTATGAGCACATTCATTCCATTAGACATTATAACATTAAAGAACACACTATGAATACTCTCAAAGCCTACTTGTGCAATGCATAGATGGCATCTCATACCACCACCCACACTAAGTAGTGCATTTTTAAGAAGCCATAGTTCATTAACATTCTTTGTGGGGGTAAGCCTTAACCGACATAGACCATGTGAGCGTATCATGGAATCTTGGTGTTACCCACACCGAATAAGGGATTCCTACTTGCCTAAGGTAG